TGTGCATTATTTTATTTGTCACCTTTCACAGCATAAATTAAAATTTTTAACCCCTTAAAGTTAAAAGTTTAACCCTTTAGGTTTCTGCTCATTATTATTTTTACTCCTAAAATATCACTACTATTTTGATCAATAAAAAAATATATCGCAACTAAGATAATATGTATAATTAACTATGTTTTAGTTGTATTTATGAACTGTTACAATTGACCCCGTAAGTGGGGACAATTGTAACAACTGCACGAGTGTCAAAAATTGTTAATAACTAATATAATAGCATTTAAAATAAGGTTTTTTTTCCCTAGTAGAGGATAGTCTACTTTACTCGTCTGTCAATTAATACTAATAATATATAGGATTTTTTGTTAGTTAAAAATAGTTAAGTAAAAAATTTTACAATTGACCCCACTCTCCCCTATTTATTATTATTTTATTTATTTCTTGACTATATTTTTTTTTCCTCATTTACGATGCACACATAAAACTTTTTCAGTTCCCCTCACTTGTGTAATAAAATGACCCCAGAAAAACAAATTTTAAACTTCACAAAAATAATTTAAACGATAAAGCTTTCTGGATTCTAATCTTTCATTGATCAAATCAATAAGACTGAAAAGTTCCTTGCTCATAGCCTTAAAATGAGGAGGAAATACAAGAATACAAGCAGTAGCAAAAAAAAAAAAAAAAAAAAAAAAAAAAAAAAAAAAAAAAAACAGACAAGAATTCAGATAGAGTAACACTCTAAAAAAAAAACCTGCTACACACATGATAAAGGAACCTTTGTTGACACTGTTGCATAGCTTGAGCTTGATGAGATTGCCAATGCTGATAGTTTCTAACACTTTCAGCAGTAGGTCGCTGCCAAGTAGTCGTTCTAGTGTTGTGGTCTACATAGTACACCCTTCCCCTATTGTCTCTCCGCATTTCCCAACTGAAAATATATTTTTAGATAAATTTTCATGAAACAAAAACATGTAAAATTAATTGTAATTAAAAATTTTAAAACATCAATTGTAATTTATACCCAAGAGGTAAAGGCTGTGGTCTTTCCCAAGTAGTGCTTTTTGTGTTATGATCAACATAGTATTTTCGGCCATACTGATCAAATCTCACTTCCCACCTGCAAATAAACAAATGCAATACAAAACATTAATGAAAATGGAAACTAAAAAGCGTTTTCAAAATTGGGAAATATAAAAAAATTTTGGAACTGAAAAAAATTTAGACAGATTTTTTATCATTTTAGACACACTTAGAGCAATAATATTAGTTTAATAACATTTTAAACAGTAAGCTAAATTAATCCAATTCTTTTTAATTTTTTAAAAAGAATATTGTCTCTATGAAGATAGCGAAAAATACATGCAAAATCTTAAAAGCAGGAACATATATCTAGACTCTTAACACTTAATCACCAATTCTTACAAAGCTGCAATTACCAATCTTTTAAAATTTATCAAAGTCATAGGACTTTATTCTCTGCTTTAAAAAATAACACCGTAGTTTAACCTTGTGACCAAATTTTAACCTAGTGCCTGGCGCAGTATAGCCATTTCTGGCTCTTGCGCCAATAAAATCCAACCAACTACAAAGCTGCAGTACAGCAAGCTAACATTTAATCTAAATGCACAGTGATGCTTTATGAAAGTTTACGAAAACAATATTAAATTATTCAGAAATAAAATAAGAGTCTCTTTATTTAATACTAAAGAAACCAATATTTATATTGTATGGCTGTAAATCATTCATTTCAAAAACTCTAGCAAATATGTAAATAAGCATATACTATTTAAATAATAATCTATTGATGAAATTAATTAATTGAAATAATATTTTAGTTTTTACTTAAAATAATAACCATTTTAATAATAATGTTAACTATTTTAAAAACAATAAATGCAGCTTATTTTAGTTTCTAAAAATTTTCTTCCCTTTTGCACATTAGTTCAGTTTAGTTTTAGTCAAAATAAATGTTTGAGGACATAAAAGTGCATAAAACAGAACATTATGAAGTGCTCACCTTAAAAAAAATCACCCTGTTTTTTTAAGAATAGAACTAAAACCATTACCCAGTGGTAATCTTTGATTTTGAAAAGCCCTAGCTAAAGTTCTACTTATTTACTTTAATTTAAATTTGAAATATTTAAAAATGCATTGTAACACTGATTCATAAACATTTTCCTAATTAATTATGTCTTTATTGTTATTTACTTTTGCCTAACTTATATAAAAAATAATGTAAATGAATCCTAGGAAACGTTTTTACTGTAAAATAACCTAAATTTAAATTAAATAATAACCAATTCAAAAAGTAAAACATCTTCCTCCTATTGAGCTTAAAAATCCTTTATTACTTTTTATTTTTTTCCATTTCAGAGAAATGAGGCTATTTTTTTTTTAATATTTTTTTTTTAGATTTTTACATCATCAATTTAAGTCATCATAGAACTTTTAAACATATTTTTTTTTATTATCCCATGCTACATCATTTTTTCCCCTTACATATCCAGTTTTAAAATATTTTAGAGTACTTACTCCAGTTAACTCATAATTGTATGATTAAATTTTAAATGTAAAATTTATAATGATTCATACCGTTGTTGATACAACAATAATTTTCAATTCATGAAAGAGTATTGTATTACCCAGTTGGTAGTGGTTCTTCTTCAGCATTTGACCTTTGGTTAGCAGATCTCCCAGATGCTGCTTGTGGTTGTGCAATTGAAGGTGGTTGACTAGTAGCATTTGCATTAGATGCAGTTGGTAAAGCTCCATTCACAGTAGCAGCTCCAATAGAAGTTGAAGGTCTAGTAGCAGGAATGTTGCTATTGACAGAGATGGAAAGCGCTGACAAACCCTGAGTATCTGGAGAAACTAGGAAAAATAATTAAACTGAATGCCATCTAATAAATATTAAAAATAACAATTAGAGACCAGCTGTATACATTGAAAATTATATAATTCTAAGACAGAACTTTAACTTAAGTTATAACCTCTTGCAGTTACTTACGAAATAAGGTAAGAATATGCAGTACACAGTAATAAATAAATTTGAAGCATATATTAAGTTGTAAAATTGCGCTCTTCCAGATGCAAATCTGCTATAAAATCATAAACTTTTCTTTTAACTTTTTGAAGATGCAATACTGTGCAATTCACCCTGTGGGTTTTTTACAATTCTTGTAGTCAAAATATTCGTTTTTGATAAAAAACAACCATTAAAATCTGTCAGATAGCTAGAATGACAGTTACAGGGCCATAATGCAGGAGAAGTTTTACATGGTACATTTAAAACGTTAATTAAAAATACATACTAATAAATATATATAATATAAAATTTATAAATATATATAATATTTAAATTTAAGTTGATTTACAAATATCAACATTCAAATGGAAGAAAAATTTATAAAAGCATAAATTATAATACAGTTGATACTAAATATAACGATCCCTGTGGTCCAAAGAAAAATGGACATTAATAACTTGAGTTTGCTATTACGTGAGTAATCAAAACTATAGCAATCATTGATGCTGAACTGATTTTAGTGAAACCTCTTACCATCCCAATCAATCTACATCCTACTAAATAACATACACCCAAAGAACTGAAAAGTCTAAGTAAAAACAAAATCAAGAAGAATGTGAAATGTGTTTTAAATGAAAAGAAATGTACATAGGCTGTGAATGCATAAAAGAGACTTCTGGGAAAAATTCAATAAACACTTACAATTCTCAATAATGAAAATATCATTACTTCACTATCTTTTTTACCATAGATAATGCCAAGGACCACCTAGGATAAGAATAGATGGCCCTGACACTCTTGCATGGAAATTAATTACTCCTTCAGGAATTTTAAAAAAAAAAAAAATTTCAGTCGCTACGTGACATTAAAATGACACAGCATCTATGGAACAGCAAACAGGACTTTAGGTATTGGGCAATGTAATAAAAGGGTCGTACTAAAGAATGTAGACCATAATACAAAATAACAAAGGATTTTGAACAAATTTACCTTTTATAATTAACTATATTACCTTGTATTTTTAATATAAGGAGATGAAGATATGAATAGAATACATAAATGGAATTTTTGTGCCGATACATAATTTTTCTAAGTTTTTGATGCAGCAGTTATTGATGGTTAAAATTGTCAAAACCTAACATGTATCAAAAATTTGCCAACCCTATTGTCATCAAAATAAAATATTAAATTATGTAAATTTTTTATTTGAATAGTTTAACATTCCACAGTAAATTTTAATTAAAAAAGAATCGAAGAAAATAGCTAACTTACCAACTGAAGGAGATATTGTTGAATCGTTAACAATAGCAGGGAGGGATTGGTGCCTATTATCATTCTGCAATCGACGTACTCCACTATTTGGGGACAGCCCATTAGCTGGCGAAACAGTGCCACTTGGTGAGGCTGCATTATGATTACTTCGACGAGATCTCATACGAGCACCACCTCCAACATTATTGGCAGGGAAGGATGAAGACTGGTCATCTGTAGATAGTCTTTGAGTTCTGTTGCTTTGTCGAAAACTAATACTGCAGTGAATATCATCAACATGGTTAGCTATAAAAGAAAAGCAATTCATAATTTCTGTTATTGTTTCATCACTGACCATAAATAGAGGAAAGAACATGAGAACATATTTAACTTGACAACCAAACAAGCAAAAATTATTGATAGACAAAGTAGGGATAAAGATACTACATTAAATGAAACTACAGATTGGAATGAAACTTCAGTTAAAATATGTGTATTTAAAAAAAAGTCAACAAAAATTACAGCTTGACATTGCTGATTATTACAGTGCAAGTAGATAAATATATTTGTAACATTCCTTTTCAGTAAATCTTTTTCTCAATTTATTATTCTAAACAAAATGCTCTTTATTCACATCCTGTCTTTTAATCTATTTTATGATCTCTTCACTAACTCATAAAAAAGACTTTCTCTCGACCTATTTAATAGACCAACTATAATTATTAACATTTCCTTTATCACCAAAAAGGTAACATTTTGTGGATTTATTTTGCAAGATCTTAACTTTTATTGAAAAACACTTTGATTTTGTGTCACTTGGATGAAAGTTCTCTCTCTCTAATAATTATTAAATAAATTGACTTAATTGTTTATAACTTATGAATTGTGAAGGGAAGGATTTAAATGCAAACATAATAAGTAATTTGGTTACCGCTTTAAGCATTTTGGGACACTAGGACTTCTAGGTTGGCAGCCCTGCTAATTTTGTATTCTTTTGTTTCATACTTTAACGCTGCACATATTTAACAAGAACTATGCAAATATATATAAACTATATAAGAATAATAAACATAGTATTTTGAGAGAAATTATAATTAATGCATCACTATTCAATAGTTAATTACTCAAAATTGAGTAATTTGGCCAAAAAAACTATTTGCTACATTCCTATATATTATTTTGAATTGCTTCACTAGAAGCTTGGAAAGAGAAAACTATCCGAAGGAGTACAAATTTCCTCATATATTAAATTATGTAAAACAAAATATAATCTGTAATAGTGTTAAGCAACAAATATTGATAAATAGCAAATAAACAATATTGGTAAATAAGGACAATAAAAGTATATTACCATCACCAACAGAGTTTTCTGAATGACTTCTTAGAGGAAATCTTGTCAAATCAATATGTAAAGCATCAAGTACTGTTACCAAATGACTTTGGGAACGACCCGTTTTACCATTTACATTTAATTCAACAGGGCAAGGTAGCTTCTCCACTAAATTGATAAGAAAATTGTATTGTGTATTAAACAATATTTAGAAAAGAGAGACACAAAAATAGGATACATGGTATAAAAGATATTAATATTTGATTATAAAATATATCATTAAAAAAATGAAATTGTTAAAAAAGAAATAAAAATATTTCATTTTTATTTCAAAACTACATGTTAAAATAAAATACCAAAACAATTATACCAATTACTTTGGAAAGTTATGTCCGGTTTGTCAGAGAAAATTCTTTAAATCAATTTCCAAAAAATAAATAATAAACGCTTTAAATAAAAATTTTAATGTAAAACCTACAACTCCTTTCGAACAACAAAACAGTGGATGAAGAGGCAGGGAGTGAATGCATAGCTGATAAGGAAATTCCAGTCATTTTTTATCTGTATAGATAAGGAGGAGGAATTCTTCGACCACCTTGTTTTTTACCCAAAATTCTTTCTTAACATTGAAGCTTAGGAGGAGGGAACAAAATCTTTCATCTCCCACAACAAGAAAAGGATTAGTAAAAGGCGTTACAGTCTAATCCAATTCCAGTCTAGGAGCATCTGTTTCAAATGGATCATTTCAAATAAGTTTTAAGTCCACATTTTTAGTTTTAATTGCTAAAATTATGTTATCTAAACGATCAATTGCAGGAAAAAATGGCGATAGTTCGTAGAAGAAAAAGCATAATTCACTTTTTTTTAAAAAAATTTTTTTTAAAGTAGAATAACTGCGGAAGTATGACTCGGGGACTTCAGTGGCTAATCTTTGCACAGAATACGAACTCGATAAATCAACTGTAATGATTTAAGAAAACAGAAGAAAAAAGTACTGCAGTTTTTCACGAAAAGTGATGTAAATTTAGAGATGGTAAAAAATAAAAAACAATTCGCAAAGATAACAACGATGATTTGGTAATATAATAGAATGGGTGCAACAAAGATGAAGTGGGAAAGTGCCTTTGACTGGCGCAAATATGATGGCATAGCCAAGACTCTAACACAAAGACTTGAAAATAGAAATAATATTCTTCAGCATGGTTAGATTTAAAAAACGTCACGGAATAAGGCAATTAAGAATTTGCAGGGAAAAGGCGCCAGCTGACGTTGTAGCTGCTGAACATTTATTAATGAATTTTCCTAATTTGTTGCTGAAAATAATTTATCTTTCGATCAAATATACAATGCAAAATGAAACTGCTCTCTTCTGGCCCATGTTCCAAGAAAAACCCTAGTGATTGCAGATGAAAGTAATCTATCTGGTGTGAAAGATGTAAAGGATGCTTGGGCTAATGTTTCCGGATTTCATCGCCTCAAGCTGATGGTAATCGTCAAAAGTGCTAGACCTCGAGCATCTGTTACGTACAAAGCAAACGTGCGTAGATTACACAAGAATTGATCGAAGATGGGTTTAATGATCATTTCGTTCTGAAAGCTCAAACTCACTGGAATGCTGTTGGGCTTCCGAGCGATGCCAAGATTACCCTCATCTTAGATAATTGCACAGCGCATCTTCCAGCTGAAATTTGATCTAAATCAGGAGTTCAGATAATGTACATCCTCCAAATTGTACTTCGCTTATTCAACCGATGGATAATGGAATACTAAGATCCTTAAAATGTGAATATATATACGGAAAAAAAGACTTTTTGGAGAAAATGATACGTTCTATCATTCAGAGAAAGAGAATCACAGAATTTTAAAAGGAGTTTGACATAAAGGATGTCCTTCACAGTGCCGCAAATGCATGGAACAATGTTACGTTGGAAACTTTGCAACATAGTTGGCAAAATTTGCCGTTTTCTACAATTTTCTTTGAAAACAAAAGTGAAAACGATTTTGAAAGTTTTACATCTTTAAAACTTCAAAATTTAAAACTTGAAATTAATCAACTTCTCGACCACGCAAAGTGCGTATTTGAAACCGATGAAGATGACGTTGAGGAGGTAATGTAATGAGTTGCGACAACAAATTACCTGTTGTCAATCACATGACTGACGACGAAATAAAAATGGCCCTTTTAGGTAATGGCAGTGATGCAGAAGAGGAAACTCCAAATAAAGAAAGATCAGCTTCTTTGGATGAAATGTTAAGAAATGTGGACAGTGTTTTTAAACTTTTGGAGCAAAGAGATATTGATGATGAATGCAAGTTAATATTACTTTATAAAGTGAAAGAAAAAATAAGTAATCATAGAATGAAATCTAAGAAACAGCTTATGATATTTGATATGTTTAAGAAATAATTTAGTTAACATTTATTTGTGTTGATTTAAATATATCATTATTTTAAGTAAATTTTTATCTCTGTATCATTTTCAATGTCTCACGTTTAATAGCGAAATGGGCCAGTCAAATTTGAAACTTTGATAATTCTATCAATTTAAGTAAGATATCTAAAGTCTGGAAATTTCGGAAATCCAGACCGTCCGGATTTTTGAGGTTGCACAGTAATTGGTAATAAATTAAAAATTACAAAATACTTTTCCTCCTCATTATGGCATGAACAATTCTTACCATATAAAAGCCTTGATTGAACAGTGTCCAATACTCATTACTAAATTTAGTTAAACTCATTTTCATGTTCATAAGTGTCATTTCTATCTAATTTTAAACCTAGAACAAAATAAGCTCATTCCTTTTGCTTAAACCTAGACAAGATAGAAAAAACCAATACAATAGAATTTAAAACTCTGTATCTGAAAATGAATGATAGTTGAGCGTTAGTGATAGGGAAGGTATTTGTCCCTCTGAATAATTTGAAATCTCTAAAAGCAGGGTTGGCAGGTTTTTGACATGTGACAGTTTTTGACGGTTTTAACCATGGTTTAAACCGTCATGTCAAAAACCTCACTGTCAAAAATGACGAAAATGTCAAAAACCTATATTCATATGAGAAATTTAATTAATACATAAAATTTATATGCAGTAGAGAACCATTTATCCGGTATCCAGATAACCGGGAAACCAGAAAACCGGGAAAATTTTTTATCAGTTTTCTCTCCATTTTAAACTAGAACGATTATTAAAAAAAGTGGAAATTGTACTCATCCTTGAAGTTGAGTAGAGGAAAATGTAAGGAAGGGGAGAATTCCCCCCCCCGTTTACCCAGAGAAACGTCATTTCCTCCCTGACCTTGAAGGCAGGGCAGGGAGGAATGTTTTATTTTCTCCTTTAGGCCGCCAATCAAGCTTAAGGGTGTGGCATGCTGATTTCGTTTTCTGTTTGATTTACGAGGGGGGTGGGGGAAATGCTGCATATCAGTGAACAGAAGATGAAAGAGAAAAATATATTAATCTATTTGACATCGATTAATAAAAATAAAATATGTTTCTTCAGAATAAATTCTCATTCTTTGGAAGTGCGGTATCATTTGCAAGTTTTTATTGATGTGGAATCACATCTGCTGTAATAAAATATCGTGTTTTTATCAACAACAAAAAATAAATAAAAGGAGAATTGTTTATTAATTTAAACACAGGATCATTTTATGAAGCAGATTGCAGTTTTGTTTTTCTGATTCCACTACGTTTGATATTTTTTTCTTTTCACGATAAATTTCGCACTCAATAAATTAATTCTTTTTATTCATAAATTTTATCATTAGGTTTTTTTTTTAAATTCCGTTGATCTTGCTTTGTTCCGGTTTTAATATTTATGATAGTGCCTTTTTTAACTATCGTTTCGGTTCGATAATTTTCAAGTGTTTTCTTTTTATTTTATCGTTTCCCCCGTATAATTAGGTATGAAATATATTGCGTTATTTAACCATTGGTTTTGTTTATATTAGTTAATTTAGGAATTGTTATTATTTTTAAAAAATAAATACGAGAATTTTGTATTTTTTGAACTTGTTTTTCTTGTCTAAACTTGCACATTTTTTTATTCTTTTAAAGTTAGGAGTACCTTTCTTTTTTCGCTTACTTTATGCATTGCACTTTTTCCTTGTAATTCGGATTCGATAAAACATCGATTAACGACACTTTTTGGTCGATCCAGAAAACCGGGAAATTCAGACATCCGGGATAGCGATGGTCCCGAGCATCCCGGATAATTGGTTCTCTACTGTATCTTTATTTATCTGAGAGAATATAGAACATTCTAGTTCTAGATTCTCTCATTCTTTCAACTGCTGTTTTCCCCATACTGATTACTCACATAAAAATTTTTTAACTATTAACTAAGCACAATGTCAAATAAAAATTGCACAGCTTTGTATAAAAAGTGTGCTCTAATAGTGCAGGAACTGGTTTAAACTAATTGAATCAGGATGCATTAGCACTTGTTTA